GGGGAAGGGGGTGACAGAGGATGAGAAGGTTGGATGGCATGAACAGCTCAATGCATATGTTTGAGAAAACTCCAGGAGATAGTGAAGGAGAGGAAAGCCTAGTGTGCTGTAGTCCAATGGGGTTGCAAGAGTTGGACACAACTGAGCAAGTGAACAACAACAATATTAAACTAAGGGGTTTGACTCTCTGAGGTTTGAGCTTCAGGATCCACATTTTTCAGTCTCTCTGAGTGATTCATACATTCATTACAATTGTGAATTGCTGCTTTACGATAAGCATAGCATTACTGGTAACAGAATTGTCTGGCAGCACAATCTAAAAAGAATGACTTCCTCTACTCCAGCTTTTATGAGATCCTGTTATGTAGCACTGGCTGGATAGATCTCTAACATATAGTTAAATCCTGACTTTGCTGCCCTTGAGACCTCTGGGACCTGGATTTTACTGGGGTAAGAAACCGAGGTGGTAGCTATAGCCAATGAGACTGGTCAAGGCCCAGTTTTCTCATACCTGGGCTGGAGGTGGAGAGCTGGTGCTGCACCATCCGTATGTACCAGAGGCACCATGAGGAGCTCTGCAGGGAAGCAGTGCTGAAATACACGGGCTCCCATTTCTGTGTGAGTACTGCTTTTTCACCCTCAAAGTTTTTGGCTAACCAAGGGTCTCAAAAAACCAAAAAAGGAAATTTTTTTTTTGCAGTGTCTCTATAGTCTCTCCTGGGTTTCTGATAAAAAGATGATTTTATTGTGTGGCTTCCTATAAAAATCTTTGTCTTCCTTTCTTCTTTGTCTCTTGGTTCAGTTGCCATGATTCATCGTTTCTCTACCCTTGTGCCTCACTCTTACATTCATTTAAGTAACCTTATTTTCTAATTTATTTATTTATTTTTTTAATTTTTTCATTTATTTTTATTAGTTGGAGGCTAATTACTTTACAATATTGTAGTGGTTTTTGTCATACATTGACATGAATCAGCCATGGAGTTACATGTATTCCCCATCCCAATCCCAGTGCACCAGGCCCGAGCACTTGTCTCATGCATCCCACCTGGGCTGGTGATCTGTTTCACCCTAGATAATATACATGTTTCGATGTTGTTCTCTTGAAACATCCCACCCTCACCTTCTCCCACAGAGTCATATGACCATATGACCCAGCAATCCCACTTCTGGGCATACACACCAAGGAAACCAGATCTGAAGCACTGTTTATAATAGCCAGGACATGGAAGCAACCTAGATGCCCATCAGCAGACGAATGGATAAGGAAGCTGTGGTACATATACACCATGGAATATTACTCAGCCATTAAAAAGAATTCATTTGAATCAGTTCTAATGAGATGGATGAAACTGGAGCCCATTATACAGAGTGAAGTAAGCCAGAAAGATAAAGACCATTACAGTATACTAACACATATATATGGAATTTAGAAAGATGGTAATGATAACCCTATATACAAAACAGAAAAAGAGACACAGATGTACAGAACAGACTTTTGGACTAAGTAACCTTATTTTCTTTCTGTGGTCTTATTATTTTCACTTTTCTGCCCACAAGTTAAATCAGTCCACTTTTTACTTTGCCTACTCATCACATTCAAGAGCTGAGCTGTTTGGAAGGGAATCTCACCTACTTCCACAGAGCTTTTTGCTATTTCATGCTCTTATGACAAGTTCTTCAGGCAGCTGTGAGGAAACTGGCCTATGTGAACTCTCCATTCCCTCAGGATTCTGCTCCAGACAAACATCGTGCAGAGATAACTCAGAAGCTTAAAAAAAGAAAAGAAATCCAGGAGAACATCAATGGAAATACCAAAAAAAAAAGGAAGAAAGGATTAAAAAAATTAAATCCTCCATAAAAACAATAAAAAAAAAAACTAGCAGAGATTATCAGAATCAACTCTTAGAATTCCGGAAATCACCAAAGGCTCTTTTCCAGAAAAAGGACCCTATCTCTTTAGGACAGGAAGGTTTATAGGGTTTTTACTTGTCCCAGTCCCATCCCATGGTCTCCAGCAAAGCAGTATCTTTGAAATCTAAGAGTCTGTGTTCCTGGAACAGGAAAATGGAACTGAATCTCTTTCAAAGCCTCATTTTCAGAAAAACAAAAACTGAAAAAAAAATGTTACCAACAAATCTGCTCTATGAGAAACACTGGAGGAAGTCATTCAGGCTGAAATCAAAGGACACTAGGCAGTAACTTGTATCCACATGAAGACATGAAGTGCACTATAAGGGAAGTTTAAAAGTACTTAGAGATGAATGAAAAACAACTAACAACATAGCAAAATGTACCAGATGCCATGAAAGCAGTGCCTGCCTGCGTGCTAAGTCACTGCAGTCATGTCCAACTCTTTATGACCCTGTGGACCATGGCCCACCAGGCTCCTCTGTCCATGGAATTCTCCAGGCAAGAATACTGGAGTGAGTTGTCATGCTGCCTTCCAGAGCATCTTCCCTACCCAGGGATTGAACCCATATCTCTTATGTCTCCCGCGTTGGCAGGCGGGTTCTTTACCGCTAGCACCACCTGGGAAGCCCAATGAAAGCAGTATTAAGAGGGAAATTTATAGCTATAAATGCTTGCATTTAAAATGAACAAAGATCTCAAATCAATAACTTAACTTTCTACTTAAAAAAAAAACTAAAAAACTGGAAAAGAAAGAAAAAACTAAACCCAAAATAGGCAGTGGGAAGGGATTAATAAATATTAAAACAGAGATAAATCAATTCAACATTGTACTGAAGATATTAGTCAAGGCAATTAGGCAAGAAAAGGACCTAAGAAAATCCAGGTCAGGAATAAATGAGATAGTAGTGATCATTACATAACTTTATGAATAAACCAAAACTACAGATTTATAATTTCAGAGGGGAGTTTATAGTATGTGAGTTATCTCTCAATTGTATAAAAGTGAGTCTCATAGGTTGTTATAAAAATTCTGTTCATTTGCTTACTTGTTTGTTTAAAAAAAGAAAAAAAAAAAAAACCCAAAGGTCTGTACTAACCATTTTTCTTTGACTTCTTCCCTTTTCCTATATGATATGTTATATCATGACTCACTGGGTTCCTTTTTTTCTGCTAGCACATGGAGAGAAACATGAGGAATTAATTACCTTAGGAAGTCCAGATTCCCACACTATTAGTGAGGGACAAAAATCTTCAGGAACTTCTAAAGCAACAAGAAAAGGTAAAGAAAAGTCTTCTGAGAAAGAAAAGACAACCAAAGAAAAACAAGCACCTCGCTTTGAGCCTCAGGTGGGTGCAAAGCTTTTTCTTATCAGAATCACTTAACAGCTTTAAGCTCATTGGGTCACTGTTTAACCTTATCTTTTAAAGAAAAAAATCGAAAAGTTCCATCTCCTTGTGTCCAGCAATCATCTGGATACTTTAAATACATTCCTTGGACATCTTCTGTAAGCAGTCTTCTTTAGTTTAGTATCAAAAATCATTAATTGAGCTTTTAATAGCTAAGATATTTGGGGGACTTGGATTTCTAATGTTAATATTATACAACCCTCACCTTCAAAGAGCTCACAGTCTCATGGAGGAGACTGAAGGTAAAAAGAGACCTGTGATGTTACATATGATATGCACAGTGGTAGAGGTACCTCTACCCAGAGGAATCCAGAACTGAGTCAGTGATCAAAGACATGCTGAGGCAAAATCCAACACAATCTGGTTTTTTAGTCTCTAAGTTATGAGGTAAGAGGCTGCAAGGGTAAGTAAGGATCAAGTGGAGAGGAGCCTTCAAGCCTGGTTAGAAAGGTGGGACTCTATAAACCAGGGATCCTGATTCCAAATTTGTTCACTGCCAGTTAAGTAATCCCAATGATTAGGGGTAAGGAGGAGTATGTGGGTGGGAAATCTGAGGAGTATGAGTACAATCCTAAAGATAGTCAGATTCAAGCTGTTTAAACACTGAACTCAAGGCAAATAATCTGTAAGGACAAAATCTTCTCATCATTGGTGATTGCAGCTTAGGCTATGCAGAGCTGGGAGGTGGGAGGTGGGGCCTTTAAGAAGTGTATTGACATGATGAGATTTACATTTCAGATACCTTGATGACTTTTAAGGGTATGAAATTAAAGGCAAAAAGACTAGAGATAGGAAGACCATCAGAAAGCAGCAAAATAGTCCAGACAAAAGAGTACAAGTTGTTTCAGATACAGGTCAAAGAAAGAAAGAAGAAGACAAATGAAGAACTAGCTAAGAAACAAACTCAAGATGTAGTTATTAATCCAAAGGGATGACAAACAGCAAGAAGGAACAAAGGGTATCTCCCAGTTTGGTTAACCAAATAGTATATTGGTAGTAAAACAGACACTAAAGAAAAATGAACAGATTCAAAGATGATGACTCCATTTTCCCATACTCCAGTCATAGAAATACCTGTCCACTTGCATTTTCAAGATGTAATTTCTTAGCTCTTGGAGTATGCCTTTGGGAACATTGAAAGGTAAATAACCTTAGCTTAACTTCCACTGGCGGCAAGAGGAAACTGAGGGGCTAGTGGGGTTCAGGGTGCTGCTCTTCGGTTTGCATTGAAAGCTCAGCTATTGCAAGCCAGCTCCAGTCCAATGTCAATGCCAGGAAGAGGAGAATTGCCACTGCTACAGAAGCAGTTTCAGCCTGCATCCCATAATGCAAATGATCTTTTGAAGAAGTAGAGAAGCAAGCAACTGTATTTCTTAGGCCCACCTCAGCATTATTGGAGGATAAGCCACATCAGCCTACAAAGAGGATTTTGTATAAGCAAAATGAAATGTAAACAGACCAAAATGAAGCACATACTTCAAGTAACACTGGTATTCACAAGCAACCAAGGTTTATATATTAGAATTTTTAAATTTAGCATTTGTGCTCCTAAGGGACTTGGAAAAGTGAGCATTCATATGTCACCCTTGAAATTTGTTTCAAAGGCTGTTTTGGCAATCAGAATGAAGTGATTTCATGTTTAGCTCAATAAGGCAAGTTATCAAATATTAAGAAAAGTATCCTATAGTGACCAATGAAAACAGGTAAATGTTAAGCAAACTGCCAAGTCTCCGAAAAAATAGTGTTAAATCAGCAGAAAAGAGAAGTCAGGGTATAAAGATGAAGAAAGAGTAAACAAAGTCATTTTGATAGCATAAGTGGTTTAACCACACAATTTGTGAAGTCATTCTACCTTTTATCAAATCATATTAATTCATACTTGAAAGATGAGGGGGAAAGTCTCAAAAAAAAAAGGAAATAAACATTTCCAAGACAAATTATAAATTGAAAGTAGAAACACTGAAAAGAGAAAATACAATTCTTCAGTTACTGGTGTCCTGACTTGTAAGAAGCTAGACTCAGAATCTTCTTTATATGCTGTAGACAAGCCTGTAAGTCCAAGTGGGTCACCTGAGCTTCCTCTAGTTTCTATTAATACTAAACAAAGTACTGTAAATTCTCTTACTCATTTCAGTGAAGGTGGACGAGCTTTAGTGTAGGTAGTTATATTGGTGTACTCGTTACCAAATTAAAGTATGATTCAGTTCCAGGAAGAGGCAGTTAAAAGTAAGCAAGACTAGGAGCAAAGACAAAAATGGAGAGAAGAAAAAACATTTACCTCTTCAACAAGAAAAAACTGCCAGGATAAGTATTGATGGCAGAATCTGGGCATTCATTCAAGCATTAAGAACAACTGACCCAAAGCTCTGCGTTAATGGATTGAAGAAGTGACTTTCATCTTCAAAAATTTCCTGAGGGAAAAGGAGGGGCTGCCAAGGAAAGAATTATTCCTTATTTTTTTAGAACTGAGACAAATTGAAGATGGCATTTTTCAGACTGCAGTTAGAAAAATGTTGGCTTTACTTTGGCCACATGAATCCAGTGAAAGGAAGAACTCGCACAATTGATGGTGGAGGAATAAGGGATGTGACAACTCTTCAGACATTATGGAAATCAGTGGAACTCACACACAAACCAGTTTATCCGTTCTTTGACTGCATTTGTGGTGGAAGTACAGGCACCATATTAGCTTCATGTTGGAATCGTTTCATATGTCCTTGGGTGAATGTAAGGAACTCTGTCAAAAATGAAGATAAGATGTGTTTTCACAAAATGTCATCATTGGAACTGTCAAAATGAATTGGAGCCCTGCATTTTATGATAGTCAAACTTTGGGAAATATTCTCAAGGATAGAATGGGATACACACTAATGATAGGAATAGCAAGAAATCCCAGAAGTCTTAAGGTAGCTGCAGTAGGTACCCTGGTGAACAGAGGGATAATGCCAAAAACAGCTTTTATTACCAGCTCTTAGTAGTTGGAAGGCTGTCAGTATAAGATGTGGTAGGCCACCAGAGCTGCATCTGCTGCTCCAGGCTACCTTGCAATGTGTGCATTTGGAAAATGATCATCAAGAGGGAAGTTTGCTTCCAACTAACCCTTCAGTATCAGCAATGAATGAGTGTAAATGTCTTTGGTCAGACATCCCATTAGCGTGCCTAGGACATTGAATGTTGGGCACTGGACATTAAGAGAGTGATGTGAGAAACACTGTGACAGACACACACTTGAAAACCAAGCTGAAGTTACCAACAGTGCTGCAGATACAGAAAAACCCGCATAATACTCGACGTTCTGTTGTTTCCTGTTACCTATTTTAGATTCAATCCCATAATGTGCAGACACTTACCTCTAGATGAAAGCTGAAACGAAAACTTGGATAAGATTCAGGTAAAAGGGCTGAAGTCCATAGAAAGAAAATAAGGAAAAAATGGAAAAACTTGCAAAAATATTGTCCAGAAAAGTTATTCAGAAAGCTAATGATTGGATAAAACTAAAAATGGACATGTGTGAAAGCCTTCTGTTCTTTTCCAAACTGTGAGGAATGCGTGCATGTTCTCCAAAATGAAAGTCTGTTCAGAATATACATTAAGTTTAGTATGGAATTGTGGGATTCAGCATGAGGTAACTTTCAACACACAAGAGTTCTAGGGAATCCTGAAAAAGATGATGTTTAGACCATCAGGTGAGGCACAAAGGGTATGTTTGCTTTCAGAATTCATATGGGAGTTGGGTTTTATGACATTAATAATGAGCTAAGCTTTAGGAATCTTAATATTGTACTAGTTGATTTTAGTAGCTTTTGGAATGATATTGTTGGTTGTTTGAAAATTTATTAACATATGAACCAGATGTCATATACTTTGCATTTTTGCTTTAGTCACCAAAGTCATGTTGAATTTATTTGATCACTGGTCTTATTTCATATGAAGAAGCTAATCTCTTCCTAAATTTACATTACTTATGTTCTCACTAGCTCTATTCTACAGTCCAAATGTTGCCTTTTAGTGTAATATCATCTGAAAAAAATGCAGAAAAATGGAACATTCTTTATCAAATTACAATTATGTTTGAAACGTGAAAGAATCAGGTGATATTTTCTATTCAAAATGTGTTTCTTGCAACATTTTATGGCTCAAAAATATAGATGAAGTTTCATCAACCACGTTTTTTGCCTTGAAACTTCAAGATAATGTTGAGTGTTAACTTTTCTAAATGTAACTCCAGTTTATCATTCACTGATATAAAATCAATTATTTGAATTTCCTGAGAAAATAGTCCTGTCATTAACAACTACAATGAAACTATTCCAAGTTAAAGCAAATAAGCTAAATTCAATCCATAAATTCTTACAGACATGTGGCCTTCCCTTAGTTCTTCAAAGTGTTCCCTTCCCTAATCAAAACTTTATCCTGGAGAAGTTTCTTAAAAATTTATTTATCAAGCAGTATGAAAGATGGCAAGAGCTTATGTGCTGTGCTTTAGAAAGAACAAATAAAAGAATTTCCAATTGTGAGATTTAAATTTTTATCAGAGTAGTAAGGGAATATTGTAGAAAGCTAGGAGATCTTTTTGGTAACATTAAAACCAAACTGCTTATGAAAACTTTATTCAGTGTCCCCCCCTCCCCCGCCAATCTCCACTTCCACATCTGCATTATGTAATATGGATAATTGACATTGTGTCAGTCTTATGGAAAGTGCTAGAAACCACATCAGATTCAAGCTCCTCTACCTACCAGATTGCTACCCATAAGTCTCAGTTTTCTAGACATTTTCAAGTCCTATGACAATCAGCTCCCAGTCTAAGGTGCATGAAAGTGATCATGCAAGACATCAAAATGTTATCTTTCATAACAAATGTATATCAATATATTCAGACTTGGAAATAACTATTTCTGCCCTCATGTAAAGAGATGGTATAAATGAGCCTAAGTGGAATTTAGAATTATTTATAGTTTTTAGTTGAAATTTGCATGCAGTGAAATACAGCAATATTAAATATACACTTCAGTGAGATGAATTTTGACAAGTGCACTCATCATGTAACCCATGCCTCTGTCAAGGTTTAGGTTATAGCCCATTTCCCTAAGCTTAGCAATTCCCCTAAACCTCTCCACAGTGGATTCTTTCATCCCCACACCTCTCCCCCAAGCAAGTTTTGCCTGTCCTGGAATTTCATACAAATGAATCATACAAGATGTACTATTCTATGCTCAACTTGTTTATTTCAGTATATTGTCTGTGTAAACTTCAATCACATGATGGTGTGCATTAATAGTTTATTACTTTTTAATGTTAAGTAGTAGTCCATGTGAGCTTCCCAGGTGGCTCAGTGGTAAAGAATCCACCTTCCAAGCAGGAGAGATAGGTTTGATCCCTGGATTGAGAAGATCCCCTGAAGAAGGAAATAGCAAGCCACTCCAGTATTCTTGCCTGGGAAATCCCATGGACAGAGGAGCCTGATGGGCTACCATTCATAGGGTCGAAAATGATCTGACACAACTTCCCAACTAAACAACAACAACAAAGTAATATACTACAGTTTGTTTATCCATTCATCAATTGACAGATGTTTATATCATTTTCCTTTTTCTGGCTATTATGAATGAGGCTATAATAAATGTTCTTTTCCAAGTCTTTTTGCAAGCACATGTTTTCATTTCTCTTGGGTAAAATACTTAATAGTGAAATTATGGATCATAAGGTAAAATCTAGACCCTTTTGAAAAGAAGAAAGCATCTGACCCAAACTTCTTTACTGTGCCTTGTCAGATGTATGCTGTCCACCCTCAACAAGAAGACCCAAATAAACCCTACTGGATTCTGAGGCTGGTCACTGAGCACAATGAAGCAGACTGTGTTGAAGTGAAAAAAGATACAGAACGAGCAGATGAAATCCGAGCCATGAAGCAAGCCTGGGAGATGATGGAGCCAGGAAGATCAATCAAGGTTATCTGAGTTTGAGAAATTATCCTTTACCTTTCATTCCTGGGCGTGGTCTGAAGGAAGAGCCATATTGGTGAAACCACATAGTCTACTTTAGGAAATATCTGAAATTTTGTCAGACATCAACTAACTAAATATTAAGACCACATTTGGACACATTGTGAAATGTTATTAATACTGTCTGGATACCCAGATGACTTGCGAAAGCAAAGCACATTATGGTACCACTTATGGCCCAAACCTTAGGTCACTTTGTTCTTTCACAGCATCTGGGATTAACACTCTGTGTCCTTAGCACTGCCAACCAAAAAAGCATTAAAATGTCTAATACATGCTTTCAAGTACTCTGAACATGCCTTAGATAAAGAGGAAGCATGCACTGCCCTTGTGAAATACACATACTTCATGATTCCTCCTCTCTCTATTTTATATAAGAATCATTGCCATAGGGAAACATTGTTATTACATATGTTTCATATCCCCAACTCAGGGTTATTGAGACAGACGAAAAAAGTCCAGGAGCAACTGGATCTAAGCTGGCCTACCCAGTGTCTAAGTGTTAGGACTGCTTCTTCACTAGTTCTCACAAATCACTGTCAAAATCACGAATGGTTCAGAATTTTTTCCTTTGATGATTGGTAAGAGCTGGCCTGGACCAGACTGCCACATTCATTGACATTTCCCCTTGTCACGAGTACTGTTGAGATGGTGTTTCCTGGACTCTGTGTTGATGCTGTCTGTCTTTTAGGCTGCCCAGGCTCGTCTCCATTATCTCAGCCAGTTCATTAGGAAAACGCCTGATGCTGAGTGCGTGCCTGTGTCTGAAAGCCAAATCAAAGCCGGGGAAGAAGGTCAGTGGGCCCTGTCCTGGCTGCCCCAAGCATGGAGCCGTTACCTGCACTTCTTAATAGCTAGTCAACAAGTCATGCTTGCCAAAAAGAAAAGATTCAGCATCTATTTCCTTATAGTACTGTAAAGTCATGGACTGTTCAATAAAGAAATAGGTTCTGGAGCATTTTCTTCTTACCAAGCAGATGTTCACTTTGTCCCCAAGTAGATATGATTTTTACCAATTAAGAAAAGATGAAACCAGAAATAAGGGTGCAGTCTATAAAGTAGCAGTATATGAACTTGAAGGCAGGGATACAACTTTAAATCTGGCACTTTTCTAATCCCAGTAACAACAAATAATAGCAATAAGAATCATAGTAATGAAGTTAACTACTTATATTGAGCGGCTTCCTTGGGTCTGGGACTATGAAATACTAATCAGGTGCTATTGGTTTAGTTGCTAAGTCTTTTCCAACTCTTTGTGACCCCATGGACTGTAACCCACCAGGTTCCTCTGACCATAGGATTTTCTAGGCAAGAACACTGGAATGGGTTGCCATTTCCTTCTCCAGGGGATCTTCCCTACCCAGGGTCAAACATGCATCTCCTGCATTGGCCGACAGATTCTTTACCTCTGTCTCATCTAATACTCACACCATCCCACTGATATATAATATTATTTCCAACTTACCAGGACACAGACCCAGAGTAATTTTCTAAACTCACAAGCTACCAAGAAACAGCCAGCATGTAGACAGTGCTCTTCATCACCTGAGAGTCTTCCCACAAATACTCATCTGCCTACATCTATCACCACACTGAACTGTCAGGGAGGCTAAAGACATTCACTTCACAAATTGTGCTTTTCCACTTTCACATCTTCAGGAGTATAACTCAATAATTTTTATAAAAGTAATTTTCCATAACTTTTCATATGAAAAGTATAAACAATAAATGTCATCCTAATCCTGTTTTTCTGGGGTGGGCACAAAGTTCTTTTGTTTATTACCTGACTTTAACCCATGGCAACTATGAGGTAGAACTTACTATTTATTCCTATTTTATAGCATTTAGACAAAAACTCAGAGGGTCATATTATTCTTCCTACATCATATATCTAAAAATTGACAAAAATTGACATATTTATAATTCTTAAAGTACTCACTCCTATAATAAGTAGAGTCTAATGTAATGGCTTTCTGGTTGGCTCAAATAGCAAAGAATCTTCCTGCAATGCAGGAGACCTGGGTTCAGTTCCTGGGTTGTGAAGATCCCCTGGAGAAGGGAATGGCACCCCACTCCAGTATTCTTGCCTGGAGAATCCCATGGACAGAGGCGCCTGGTGGGCTACAGTCCTTGGGGTCACAGAGTTGGACACAACTGAGTGACTGATACTTTCACTTTCTTTTCAATGTAATGTTAGAAATATAAAGGTGAATAGAATACAGTCCTTGTTCATTAAGCTCTAGGTTTTATTATTAATTTTTTAAATTTTATGTTAAGTTTATGTAAAAGAAAATTGATTGCACTGATTACTTTTTAAAAATGGCAAAGAAGATTTTATTCAAGACCGTTGTAGGGGGAGAGAGATTGAACTCAATTCTGAACACAACAGTAACAAGTGAAGATTTATAACAAGCAGGGAACTAATGAAAAAATACTTCTACGAATATGTTTAGGTATCAAGGATCAAGGAAGAGAAATTTGATTAAATATCAAGTGAGGAGGATAAGAAGTTTAATTGGATATCAGTGGTGGGGAGATTCTCAATAAACTAGTTTAGCTGGATTCTTTGCTAAAACTGGGATTCACCACCAGTTAAGGACAAAGCTGAGTGGAGAACAGAGCTCAGAGAAGGCTGACCTTATGTAAACTACAGTTAATAAAGACACATATTTTAATTGAACAACTTGGTGTATTTTCACATACGTGTATACTCAGGAGCCAGTGTTCAGATCACGATAAAACATCTCAGTAGTCCTCTTCATTTTCTTTCCCAGACTTTTCCTTCCTCAAAGAAACCATTTGTCTGATCTCTATCACGATGAATTAATTTTTCCCATTCTTGAACTCTACATATTTATGTATTCTATATGTCTTGTTATTTGTGTGTGTGTGATTTCATAGAATGCAAGGGTTCTTTTAGTGCTGCATATGTTGTATTTAGCAGTAACATCTTCAAGTGCTATAAAAGAGTCAGATAAAAAGAGTGCCATGAATTTTGATAACAAAGAGTCTATACCCATCAGGGAGCATGCTGTGGAAGAAGTGGCAAGTAGGCAAGGGCATGAAGGATCTAGCAAAGTCAACAAACAGTGAAAGTGGAGGATCTTCCCCAGCAGGGAAGGAAGAGCGTGATCAGAGCTTACGGAGGGAAAATATCAGTAAGTATTGCCCTTATTGGTAAGATAAATCCATATTTTGAAATAGAAATTCTGGAAAAGATATTGTGCTAACATATATGATGGCTAGGGTTGAACACAGAAAAATATGCATATAGGATTCATAGGTCTTCATTTTAATTACTAGAGTGGTGATCTTCTCAAGGACCTGATTAATAAACACTTAACCTAAAGATAAAAGTGAAAATTTCTTTTTGCAGTGATAACATATATAATTGTCACTAAATATAGATTCTTTTTTTTGTTTTATCTATAGTGTCCTACATCTTTTATAACCAATGTTAAATATTTGTGGCCCTCTATTCTGACACAAATTTTTCCACTATATACATACAATATATTCCATTATATTATATATAGAGAGAGACTGATTGATTGATTATTCAGTTGCTAAGTCATGTTCAACTCTTTACAACCACATGGAATGCAGCATGCCAGGCTTCCCTGTCCTTCCCCATCTCCTGGAGTTTCCTCAAACTCATGTCCATTGAGTCAATGATGCCATCCAAACATTTCATCCTCTGTCGCCGCCTGCTCTCCTGCTCTCCTGTCCTCAATCTTGCCCAGCATCAGGGTCTTTTCCAATGAGTCAGTTCTTTGCATCAGGTGGCCAAATATGTGTGTGTGTGTGTGTGTGTGTGTGTGTATATACAACATATTTATTCATCAGCTGATGACACTCAGGTTGCTTCTATATTTTGACTATGGTAAATAGTGCTGCTATGGAACATGTGCATTTGAGGTGCATGTATCTTTTTTTGAAATAGTGTTTCCATTTTCTTCAGCTATATATCCAAGAGTGGAATTCAGATATATATTCTGGAGTAGATCATATGGTAGCTCTATTTTTAGTGTTTTAAAGAGCCTCCAGACTCTTTTCCACAGTGGCTGCACCAATTTACATACTCACCAGCAGTGTACAAGCATTCCCACAAGCATTCCCTTTTCTCCACACCCTTGCCAATAATTGTTATTTATAGTCTCTCTGACAATAGTCATTCCAAAGGTGTGAAGTGATACCTCATTGTGGTTTTGGCTGGCATTTCTCTGATGATTAGCATGTTGAGCATCTTTTAATGTGCCTATTTGTCATTTGTATGTCTTCTTTGGAAAAATGTATATTCAGGTCTTCTGTCCATTTTTAATCAGATTGGTATTTTTTTGATATTGATTCGTATAAGCTATTTATATATTTTAGATATTAACCGCTTATGAGGATATAGTTTTGGGTAATAAGGAGGGGTCACAAAACAGAGAGGACAGGTAAGAATGAGTAGGGATGGAAGATCTAGAGACCAAAGCAGCCTGTCCTCAAGCAAAAAATTCTTCAAAGCCCTCTTAAATATGTCTTATCATTTTATATTAAAATAAAATGATAAGTCTATAATAAAATAAAATGTCTTATCATTTTATTTTAATATAAAATGATAAGTTTAATTATACACCACCAAAAAGAAATTTACTTACCATCCCACCAAAAAGGGATGTGCTATTGTGTGGTTCTAGTACATCATATGGCACAGAAACTCTGCTTGTAGCCCAGATCCTGCGGCTGTAGCAGCAGCCCTGCTTGAGAACCACAGGTCCAGTTACCCAGCTCTTCTCTGGGACTTTGTGGGTTCCTCCCACCTCTGCTATTGGTGCATCACAAATTGGCCCTCACTCCTGAAGACGCCTTACCCATAGGAGATTGTAGACCCTGTGTCAGCTTTACATGCTCTGGGCTTTACATTGGTATGCATATACACACATACATTGGCGAAGGAAATGGCAGCCCACTCCAGCATCCTTGCCTGGAGGATCCCATGGACAGAGGAGCCTGGAGGGCTACAGTCCATGGGCTCGGAAGTGTCAGACATGACTTAGCGACTGAACAGCAATATATGTGTGTGCCATGATGCTTCAGTTGTGTCCAAGTCTTTGCAACCCTGTAGACTGTAGCATGCCAGGCTCCTCTGTCCATGGGATCCTCCAGGCAAGAATACTGGAGTAGGTTGCCACATCCTACTTGGGGGGATCTTCCCAACTCAGGGATCAAACCCACGTCTCTTATGTCTTCTGCATTGGCAGGCAGGCTCTTTACCACTAGCACCACCTGGGAATCCCCAAATAGCAGCATACATATACATGTATGTATATTTATTTACTCATTTGTTTGTGACTCTTCAAATACTACCCTACTCTTGCCACTATCTTCATATATAATAGGTAACTTAGAACAACTTCCTCCATAATGCCAGAGGACATGTAAACAATATCATTATTGATTTCACATCCAAGCATTTTTTTGCAACACCAAGCCATCATCAAGTTTGAGCTCAAACTTGGCTTTCAACTTCCCTATTATTTCTGGGGGCCTTGGAAAGTGCCTTGGTCTTTATTCCCAAACTTTTCTCCAGGCCTTACAATAAGTGAATGGATCTTCCCTGGTGGCTCAAGATGGTAAAGAATCTGCCTACAATGCAGGAGCCCTAGGTTCAATCCCTGGATCAGGAAGATCTCCTGGAAAAGGAAATGGCAACCCACTCCAGTATTCTTGCCTGGAAAATCCCATGGGTGGAGGANCAGTCTGATTCTTTGCGACCCTATGACTGTAGCACCCCAGGCTCCTCTGTTCATGGGATTATCCAGGCAAGAATACTGGAGTGGGTGGCTGTTCCCTTCTCCAGGGGATACTCTCAACCCAGGGATCAAACCCACATCTCCTACATCTCCTGCACACACACACACACACTCTTTGAGCTACACTGTTATGGAGGTCCAAGTCCATACTCTGCTTACCCTTATTCTGTGCAAACATGTTCAGTCGCGTCCAACTCTTTTGTGACCCCAGGGACTGTAGCCTGCCAGGTTCCTTTGTCCATGGGATTTTCTACCGAAGAATACTGGAGTGGGTTGCCATTTCCTTCTCCGGGGATCTTCCCAATGCAGGGATCAAACCCACATCTCCTACATCTCCTGCACTATTAGGCAGATTCTTTACCACTGTGCCACCTGGGAAGCCCCTTATTCGTGTACACTTTATTCTGATAGAACAGTTTTACAGATGAACATGAAGATTAACCTTCTCGGCCCCTTTTACACCCTCTCTGTTAAAATATATATTATTTGGCAGGATGTAAAAGAATACAAACATCTTATTAATCAAAAACATTTTCTTTTCAGTCAGAGTCAGCAGAGTTGGTGTCTTATAGAAACAATTCAAGTTTGAATGCCAAAAATAAATGCAACAAAAGTAGATATGTTCCTAAGAAAAACACTTGAACTTTAGAAATCTAAGATCACAGACCAACCATAATTTAAAAAATAAGTTATTTACCACTGGTTTCTAGAAGAGTCCTGTTGTATATAAGATGCCAATATTTTAGGGATATTTTATTTAATGTTATAAAGTGAAAAACATGACTGAATTTCTGTTCTAATGATGGAGCAAAGTTGGGGTTTTAGTATGGTATTCTTTTTTCTCACTTGTATCCTGCTGATAAAGGCATACTTTTGAAAAATGAAAAACTAATTTGATGATATATGATTATAAAATTTTGCATTAGATTATATTTATGAATGAATAATCCCTTTTAATAAGTTGTTATGAGTTAATCACTTTACAATATTCCTGGAGACTTTTACAACCACATGTGAAAATCAAGATTAAATGGTCAATGGGAGATTGGGATGTTTTCCATGGCACAGTGAAAACTTGACATAGCTTCTCCCAAAAAACAATGATAAAATGGGAAAGATTGATTAAGAAACATTTCAAAATTCCCAAGGTGTACAACTAATAAAATATTTAAAAAAAATAAAGACAAATTAACTTAATTGTATAATTTTCCTATCCTGTAAAAATAATAATGAACTTGGTGACTTAAAACAATGCAAACTTTCTGCAGTTCTCAGTTCAGTTCAGTTCAGGTGCTCAGTTATGGCCTACTCTTTGCGACTCCATGGACTGCAGCATGCCAGGCCTCCTTGTCCATCACCAACTCTCAGAGTCTACCCAAACTCATGTCCTCTGAGTCGGTGATGCCATCCAACTGTCTCATCCACTGTCATTCCCTTCTCCTCCTGCCCTCAACTTTCAAATGAGTCAGCTTTTCGCATCAAGTGGCCAAAGTACTGGAGTTTCAGCCTCAACAACAGTCCTTCCAATGAACACCCAGGACTGATCTCCTTTAGGATGGGCTGGTTGGATCTCCTTGCAGTTCAAAGGACTCTCAAGGGTCTTCTCCAACACCACAGTTCAAAAGCATCAATTCTTTGATGCTCTTTCTTTATAGTCCAACTCTCACATCCATACATGGCCACTGGAAAAACTATAGCCTTGACTAAACCGACCTTTGTTGGCAAAGTAATGTCTCTTTAATATGAGGTCTAGATTGGTCATAACTTTCCTTCTAAGGAGTAAGCGTCATTTAATTTCAAGGCTGAAATCACCATCTGCAGTGATTTTGAAGCCCAGAAAAATAAAGTCAGCCACTGTTTCCCCATCCATTTGCCATGATGTGATGGGACTGGATGCCATGATCTTAGTTTTCTGAATGTTGGGCTTTAAGCCAACTTTTTCACTCTCTTCTTTCCTT